TTTAAGTAATGCTTGTTCGAGGAGCCGTTTTTCCGAGGAGCTGCTTTTCTGAGAAGCCGTTTCTCTCAACGAATCCAGTCCCAACAGGCTCACATTTTTGAAGAACACCATTTTCGTGGAGCGTGGCATAGAGCTTTTGAAGGGATTCTTAGAGGAATCAAGTCTCTCACATTGATTCCTGTACCTCCACATTCGAAGACAACTGAGAACTTCCAGCCTCTATCTACCTTGATTCAAGGCTAGAATCTGCAACTTCCATGTGCAATTTCCCTCGTCAAGTGAAAATGGATGGCTGGATGGCTATCGTAATCCACCTTTTGTTGGAGGCTTGCATAAAGTTTCATTAATAACGTTTAATTTTTTTTTCTCTCTTATTATATATTTAATCGATTGAACCTTTACTGATATGGTGATGGTGGAATAATTAATTGCTTTTATGGATTTTTGATTTATCGAATTTATTGTAGACAAGCCTAAATAAATGAAATATGGCAACGTTGTTTCATGCTGCCAAAAAAAAAGTTAGGTTATGTTGTTATGTAATGTGAATGAGTTTGTTTACAATTAAATTAATAATTAATTCAAAATTAATTTTTTTTTCCGAGATGCGTAACCTATCCACAAACCTTCCTTGGGATGACCATAACAACCTACCAAAGTTTCATCGTAATTGGATAAGTGGTGTAGGAGCGCATAGGCGGATACCCCGCAAACATTGATTTTTATATTTAAAGATTTATCATTGCTTAACTTTCAATATTGCTATATATTGGGAATGTAAATTTTATGATTCATAATCAATAATCTGAACTGAAGTCAAGGTTGGATAACATGCTCTAACTTTAAAATTTTTGATTGAGTACCTGCATCGTCGAAAATTTATCAATTTTTAAGTTGGGTCCTATACTTAGATATTTGAAGATTTCTATTATATCTCCTGACCATTTAACCCAACTTTTGATTTTATTGAATTTATTTTTCTGGCAGCAGCTGACCATATAATATTATAATTTTCATCCATTCATTCTTTGTTCAATAATTTTCTGGAAACTTAAATCCATCATATTTTTATTTCAAATTAATAATATGGCCAGCGACTGTTAATGAACTTATATGGAAACTATATTGATGTACATTGTAATATTATTTTTTTGGAGTTTGATGAATCTGATTGAGGGTTAACCTCCATTTATTTAATTTATTTGAAGTGTTCCACCAACAATTGATTTCATTCTCAAAATTTGATGTTTGATTTCTAACCTGTCTGTGAAAATATACACTAATTTAATTTGAAACTTACTTAATTGTTTTATTGGTTTACCTATGTCAAGATTTGGTTGAGTTATATGCCTTATTTATTTCCTTTTCAGAATTATCAATTACCGTTTGCTGATTATTTTTTTAAGGTGTGTTTCTGAATTTTCACCCTTCAATTTTTTATGTAATTTAATTATTATTTTTTTTTTACAAATTCAGTGGCGCCCTTTCTATTCTGTACCTATTGAACTATTGACCCACCCCCAATAAATATTCGCTGAGCAAACTGTGCATATTATGCGCCTCTTGTTAATTTATTAACAAAAGGGGTTACACTTTCCATTGTCCTGGTGTTTGCAGCCACCAGCTCTGGAATTCTCTGTCTACCCAGTTCTTGATAGATGTTTTGAAGAGGCATGTTGAGATTCCGCAAAATGGTTCTGGGCCTATCATCTCGGTGGCTGAGCCTCCTTTAGCTAAGTCGTCAGCCTCTTCATTGCTTAGGTGGCCCTCATGGCCTGTTACCCACGCTACAGTAAGTTTGTTGGACAAGCTCACCTCCTCTAGGACATTTATGCAGCCAGTTTCTGACCAGTTTCAAGCTGATCTTCTGGGAGCTGATTGTCTTTAAATAGGGCCGCTTGACTGTCCGAGTAAATGACAATGTTTTCACTTTTTTTTCCATTATCAGTATGGTGCAGTGTATTACCATTATGGCAGCGATTTCCGCCTGGAACATTGTGGCGTATACTGCCCGAGGCTTATGGATATTTTCACCCTGAACTTGTCTCCGTAGATGCCAGCTCCGACCCCCTTGTTAGTCTTGGAGCCGTCGGTGTACTAGATTTGGTCTGTTCCCATTGAAGGGCCTTCGTTCTAATCTTTCCTATCCGATATGGCGACCTAAATATGCCTGCTGAAGATGTAAAGAGGAGTTGTTTTATCTGAAGGCATCTCGTACAAGGAGGCGACCCCTTGATCCTCTTCTATCTTCCAGCTCATGGTCCTTCGGTGTTTTATAATCGGACCTTGGTCTTGTTTGAATCTGTAATGTACTGCCTTTACTTCACCCTGTTTGTAGATAATGTAGCGGCGGCATGTTCAGGCATAAGCATGCTAGCCTTTGCACACTTTGGAGCTGTCTGATTGCTACGGTCTGCGTGACCTTTGCTCCTCAGGCAACCGTACCGAAGGTTATCTTTGTACAGCCATAGGTTCATCTTTGAGTTAAGCCCCCAGCTTTTTTCGCAGAGCCTCCTGCATCTCCCAAGGGCAATTTTTGCATTCCGGACGACTTTGTTGAGGTGCAGACCTCACGACTCCTAGATATTTGACCTCTTTCGAGAAAAGGATTTTCACTTTGTTAAGCCTAGGGCATCTAAGCTACGGTTTTCTGCGGATTAATCGACAGTCCTTCCTCTCTGCACCAGTTGTCAACTATGTTCACTGCGCTTCGCTTTCTTACTGAAGCATATTTGAGGCGTCTCCCTCTGACTATAATGACTATGTCGTTCGCGTAACCAAGGCAGTGGAATCTCTAGGACCGCCAAGTACAGTGGCGACAAAACGCCTCCCTGTGGGCACCATCCCCTACCCATTTTTGCTCCTAATGTGTTTTCGCCCAGAGTGGATCTAATGACCCGATCTCTTAGGTTGGCTTTTATCCATTTGCATCATATAGTGTGCAGAATTTTTCTACGCTTGGGGATTTTAAATGAACCCTTAAAATTTTGTAAAAAAAGTCCCCAGTAGCTTATTATCGACGTGGTACTTCCAGTTTCAGCTTGGCAGGTATAGCTTCTCTCAGGTTAGTGTCATTTTTTTGAATTAGAAGTCTTAATAAAAACTGAAAATGGTATTCGGATATCCTAAGTAAATCTTCGGAAATCACAGAAATTTCGTTAGGTACTTAAAGTAGTATTACTCATTTGCAGAATACACTATCATCTACTTTTTTTTCTTTTTTGTCGAGAGTGCTTTTGTAATTCTGCCGAATATCACTCCACACATAATTTGACAGGCTTCTGCTACTAAGCACTGCATCAGTCCATAAGACTCTGTGTATACCTACTTCACGAAAGTAGGACGACTTCTGTCGTGAAATTTCTTGGATCGTGTTACCAAGATCGTGATTTACTCAAGTCAACGCTCCTTTTCAGGAAAATCATAAATCAGAATCACAAACAGGTAAGCCTCTCAGACTCATCGTGAACGCCATTACTGGTTCTACCAATTATATTGCAAATTATCCTCATTATTGCAGCCATTATAATATCAGCCTATTATTTTATGCAATTTATTCGGTGTAAATATTTCAATTATGTGCATAACAAGTCGTTTGATTTATAGCTTGAGAAAGATGAGAGTTTGCATCGAAAAGCCGCTCTAATAAAGAAGGTTGACTGAGACATTCATGGACTTTTTATTTCCGCTATTATCTATCACATCAATAAGTGTAATGTCTCTAGGAGTTCTAGGTTAATACCGTATTATTAAAAATAGAGACAGGTATCTCAGTTAATATCAATGTAGATTGTAGAGGAAATGATATTCCAGAATAAGATGATGAGGATGCATCAAGAACGAAGTCTCACTATCACTAACATTGTGTATTTGCCTTTCGGACTGGAATAGGAAAAACTCTGAATACAATTTCTAGTTAAAAAGGTTACCTACCTAGTTTATCAATATTAAAAATTCTTCAAAACTCCAAACAACTCAAAAAATTTGAAATTGTAAAAGAAAACTCCAACATATTGTTTATAGTTCTCTTTTAAGGTATTTTAGCTTCTTTTTTCGCTTCTGCTTGCCCCCAACATAACAATGTCTGTGAAGTTAGCGTTGTTGATTACTAATGTCCTTATCAACATTTCAACATTGTATTCAATTGCTTTCAAAATCGGTACGCGAATTAAGGGTTGAAAATATGAAAATTTGAAGTTAATATTTTAAAACGTAGGACATAACATACGTTTCAAATATCTATAGATTGCTTGGAAAAGGGTGCGTTAGTATTTCTCAGAAAAGCAGTGGGCTAAACTTTTGCATTCTGAACGTACATTTTCATTTGTCTTCTTTCGCTTTAAATATTGATAAACCTGATTTTCTGCATTTCCCAAGCGTTGCAAGCTCAATCCAGTTACTCCCTTGTGCGATTAAAGCAATTTCAAAATGGTTACCTACTTACTGGTATTTTCTATTAGTTGAGTACATAAAGTCATTGGTATTGAATTGCCTTACACTAAATTATTCACAGGAAGTAAAAAAAAAACAACTCATTGTTTCTCATAGTTTATTAACTAAAATATAAATCCTGCTAAGCTGCTCCAGAAATTTGTGCCCATTATCCTAGACGATTTAATTTTGTACGTAAAGTCATAAGACAATTTTCTATATTGCCAGCGTCTGATTGTCTAGTACCAAAATCCAATCCAGCTTTTGCCATAATTTGAGAACAGTCCAATAAGGGATGTCTCCGGATACGAGGTTCAACTATATTGTTTTTCAGTGACGAAGCGTCGTTGACTGAACTGTAAAAAGAAAATTCTAAACATTTTAGTTCTAAAAAACATACAAGCGACCAACATAAATTAATTTTTATTATATTTTTTCTTTTTCTCTTACCTTAAAGACAACGTGTACTAGCGACATCTAGACAGTATACACACCAATTAGCAGCAACAATTAAATAAACATTATACATACAAATTTTAAATTTATTTACACATAATTAAAAACGCCATTTATAATATTTAAAATTTATATTTATTGTCGACCTCTATAAATTTAGCCACAATGCAAGTATTTCTTATTAAAATATTTTACATAAAATGATAAACTTAAGAAATACTATTTGACAACACAAAATCAAACCTATCCTAAATGACTCCAGTACCGTATTGCGTATTCCTTTTGACCAGTGTGACCTCGATCTGACCCGAAATCAGCAGTTCTTTTTAAAGTACCGTCGAGAGTGAATCTGTCAAGTTGAGTTCCTCGCACTTCAGCAATCTGAGACCTGCGTTATATTTTTAAAGCCGTAGAGTAGGTATTTATAATAAGTTATAGTTAGTTCCAGTTCCAAGACATACTGTTGAGTTTTAAAAGAAAGACATTTTTTCTTGAAATTAGTAGGTGAATAACTGAGTAAATAATTCGAACATAAATCAGAAAAACCGTTCAATTTCTAGAAGAGTCCTTATTTTATATTGAAAATAAGAATGATTCTGTCTCGGTCTGGGTTTTTCAAATTCAAAAGCAAATATTAAGGAATTCCATTGTGTAACTTAAGTAAACAAAAATTTCCTTGATTCTAGAGATTTCTGGATTAAATGGCTTCGTATATAAAGCGCGTAGTTTGTTAGTCTATCAGTGACTTTAGGGCCCGGTTGTACAATCTTGGTTCAAAACAGAGTTTAGCTAAACTCGACTGGTACTTGAACTTCCCCATTTGAAATGCATTGCTGTCAAAATTGATAGAATTTGATTATTAGCTGACAGCAATGTATTTTAAATTGGAAAGCTCAAGTACCAGTCGAGTTCAGTTGAACTTTGTTTTGAACCCAGATTGTACAACTGGGCCTTAGTAAGATAATTTTTGTATAACATTAAAATATACGTGCATAATGAATTTTGTAAAATTATTTTTAAAAATAAATTTAATGTTCCTGAGGATTGCGTGACAATTTAATGTCAGAAGTTGGATAATTGAGTGTTTTATTTGAAAACCAAGTCATCATGAATGCGTGACTCTATTACTGATTTTGACAACGAGAAAACAAGCCTATGGAGTAATTTTTCTAGATTATTCCATCTTGTTCTATCTGAAATTACGCGTATTCTAAGAAAGGGAAGAAGAGGAAACCCGAGGACAAAAAGAGAATCAAGAAGAACAGGACAGAAGCTTCAGGAAAATTTTATATGTCAGCGTGAGGCATTCACATCAGTGGTTGGTGTCTGTAAAAAATCTTTACGCATTATGGGATAAGTATTTTAATTATATCATTTAGTTATTCTGCGATCAGTGCATTCTAGATTCTCATGATGTTTTGAAGGTTGTCTAGTTTTAAAGTTTGCAAAGAAAATGCAATAATTTTCTTTTTTTAAAATATTCATACATAATTGGATGAAATCATTTTATTACAATAATAACATTTTGCTTGTGAATCTGGTGGACCATCATAATGAGTTTTCCATTCATCTCTATTGAAATAGATGAAACATGGTACCTAACTTAATTTGCAGTAAGAGATTATTTTTGTAACTTATTGGTAATTTACCCCATGCATTCAAAAGTTCAAAGGACTTTGCATGTTTCAATAAATAATCCAACGGAATTCTCAATAGTTCTTTGATTGTAAAATCTGGGAGTAATTTGTTACCATTCATATGAGCTAGAACATTGTCTATACAGGGTGACTTACTAAGCGCGCGGTGGTCCATATCTCCTATACTAACGGAGATCGGAGAAAAAACTATGCACAAAACTTGTAGATGAACATGAGTACTACACTTCTAAATTATTTTTCAGTATACAGGGTGGCTCAAAAACTAGTAGTGACATAAAGTTATGTTTTTTTAAATGACTCCCCCTGTATATTATGACATTTGGAAAATTCTAGACATATTTCATGTACAATGTCATATACCTATCTTCAACTGTTTCGGAAATATTGACCGCTGAAAACTGACTTTTTTGGATCTTTGACAGACTGTAAAACCTGAACGATTAATTTTACAAGAAAACGGATTTTACATTCCTATCTTAGTTTTCCATAAACTATTATTTGGCACTAATCTTGAATTAAATCCATGATTAAAAATTCTGCCTAAATTATTAGTCTTCGGTTAAATTCAAAGTTGGTGTCAAATGATAGCTTATGAAAATCTAAGATAGGAATGTGAAATCCGTATTCCTCTAAAATTAACCGTTTAGGTTTTACAGTCTGTCAAAGATGCAAAAAAGTCAATTTTCAACTGTCAATATCTCCGAAAAAGTTGAAAAGAGGTATATGACATTATACATGAAATATGTCTTGAATTTTCCGCATAATCCAGTAATGTCATAATATACAGGGAGACTCATTTAAAAAAACATAACTTTGTGTCACTACTAGTTATTGGGCCACCCTGTATACTGGAAAATAATTTAGGAATGTATTACTCATGTTTATCTACAAGTTTTGTTTTTAGTTTTTTCTTCGATGTCCGTTAGTATAGGAGATATGGACGACCGCGCGCTTAGTAACTCACCCTGTAGAGAAACAACAATTCATTTTTGAGTTTCTTAAGTGTTGGTGGTTGTCAATAACTCTACTACTATTTTTGCAATATAACTTTGATAGGGTTCTTTAACAATAACGGTCTGCTTTTAATTTTAAATCCTTTCAAGACCTTCTACATCCCATGGAGTTTGAAACACTATTGACGAATAAAAATGCAGGAATTGTTTAAATATTCTTTAGTTTTCAAGTTTTCAGAGTGAAGGGATATGGAGAGAGGTACTATTTCAGAGTAAAAGCTTTTAAACGTTGTAGGGGTAGGTATTGGTTTGATAGCTGAAGGCTCTTGAACGTGGGAACTTTTTCGATACGGTGGGAAAATCGGCGCCTTTGATCTGAAATTTTGGGAATTTGACCCGGGCCAACCGTAAAAACTTTTTCGATACCGTCTAAAAATAGGCGCCTTTGATCTGAAATTTTGGGAATTTGACCCGGGCCAACCGTGGGATCTTTTTCAATACCGTGGGAAAATCGATGCCTTTGATCTGAAATTTTAGGAACTTGACTCGGGCCAACCGTGAGAACTTTTTCGATACCGTGGAAAAATCGATGCCTTTGATCTGAAATTTTGGGAATTTGACCTGGTCCAACCGTAGGGACTTTTTCGTTACCGTGGGAGCTTTTTCGATACCGTGGGAAAATCGGCGCCTTTGATCTGAAATTTTGGGAATTTGACCCGGGCCAACTGTGGAAACTTTTTCGATACCGTGGGAGCTTTTTCGATACCGTGGGAAAATCGGCGTCTTTGATCTGAAATTTTGATCTGAAATTTTGGGAATTGGCCAACCCCAAAATTTGTGAATCTGGTGAACCATTTACGTAGAAGAGGTGGGTATTGATAGCTGGGGGGCACTTGAGTCAAAAAAGTGATCAGGAGCTTCACGGAAGGGTGGGTAGTGGTATGATTGCTGTGCTGGAGGGGGGTTTTACGTGGTAGAGGTGGGTATGTGGTCTGATAGCTATGAAAACACTCCACTTTCGCATTCGGCGATATCTTCAGCTATGTTACGCCAGGTTACCTTTACATCGTCTGGTCTAAAATTGGGGCCCCTTCCAGCATGGACCACGACAAGCCGCCACTGCTCTCAAACCCCCCCCCCCCCATGTAAAAGCTATAGCTACGTCGTAGCAAGACAGAAAGCTGCCGAAACTTCACACTTGAAAAAAACCGGCAATGGATCACAAATAAACTTTAGAAAAGAATAGTCCGATGTGCGAAGATAGAAAAACCGAGAAGAATGGTGGGGTAGGATACGACTACTGATCCAGGAAGCGAAATTAGATTAGCGAGAGAACAGATTCTTAAAGGATAAATAATCGAAGAGCTTCACACTCAATGTAGAAAAGTATTTACGAGTCGTGGACTATGGGTTTCAGGGTAACAATACATGGAATTGGCAAACTAGTTTATCATTTTGCCCAACAAAAATTATCAAAACAGGTTTGGAAGTATGCATAGGCGGCGCGCCAGCTTTCTGAAATCTGTATGGGTGCTTAGCCAAAGGCGACATAAAATAGCTAAAGTTTTTTTTTTGTGCCACTCCCAAAAATTATTTCAAGCTTTCGAACCCTTAAACTACCCAAAAATCTACAGAAAAATTTCCTTTGACAAATTATTGAAATAATATCTGAAGTGACTGGGCACTGGGATTCCCAGGAATATAAAGTGCGCGAAGCAGACAATATGAGAATAGAGAGTTGCAAAATGTTACGATTCCGCCTATAGGGGTGTATCGCAACGCAATTTTTTTTTGGCAGTCACAGTGATTAGTAATAATAGTAATAATAACAATTACATCTTAAATATTATTGTCCTTGTAGTGCCGATAAAACTAATTTTTAAATATCTTTTGTTGATTAATATACATTTGAAATTTTTCGTATGGCTCTGCACCCATGACATATTCAGTATAGGTGCTTGCGCACCCATAGCATCCATGAAGGCGGCGGCTATGGAATTATGATGGGTAGTAACTGTTTCTCAAAGAGAAGGAGATCAATAATCACATAGTGCAATGCAAGCAGTATTTGAAAGCCGAAAATCCCAATAAAGAAAAGAACTGATTGAATGATATTGGTTTCAGCTTTCAGCACATTTGCACTTTTTGTTTTGAAATTGTTCCACGCACCTGGAATCAACTTAACATGGTTTGATTTTGTTATGTCAGAAGACAAAAAATAATAGCTTAGTTTGGGTTAACTTAACACAGTTTAATTTAAGTGCACTCAATAAGTCAACGGTATATCTTGGAACGTTATCTATACTAACCTCTTTGCTTCCATATGCTTATCATCATTCTCATCTGACCTCATTCTGATCTTTTCCAAATAATTTCCAAACCATACATCGAACGCGACCTTATTCAGTTCGATTAAATCAGTGATGGACTGCTCCACATTGTTTTTACTGTAAAATATCAGAGCGTGTTTGAATGGCAATTGAATGTGGCCTCTGCCGGTAATTATATTTTGCCTACGGGAGTGCGCCAAATGAGAAATAATATCTTTCGGGTCTAAACATCAAATTAGACCGAGGTTTACTACTGGGTAATTAGTTGTTGAGGTAATTTGATTGGATTATCAATTGTTAAGGGACAATAATTGAAGATTTGACAAATTACAATATGCGAATCCGTCAATAAACAAATAAAAATTAAAAGCTACAATGAAGTGCTGATAATTTAGACACAAATCATATTATACAGGATGACATTTTGAAACCTTGCCTTGGTTATCGTATAACTAAAGAACCTAAACATATTTTTTTGAAGTCGACACTATTACGGCAAATTCAGGGGCTAACTTATTCCAACAACTTCTTGAATGCAAATTTCCTTCTTGTGTCAGCTGCTACCTACATACCAAGAATCATGGCAAGAGACAATTCATAAAGTAGTATTCATCATAATAGTCGTGCTCCTAGAACAGTTCACCTTCTCAAAGACAAGACGTCGCGCTGGTCAATTGCAAAACGAACGAACTCCAGTTGAGTAAGTAGATAGGACCAAATAGCCAGAGTCCCACACCGGGTATTCGGCCAGAATCAAGGAGTAAATGACGTGAAAAACATCAATGATATATTTAACGGATACCTATATTTTAGAGGGAGGAAAGAAAGTAGCAAACAAGGAAAACAAAAAAGAGGATAAGCGCTGGAAGATGAGGCAAATATGAAATCTCCTAAGCGATGGGGAACGAAACACAACCTAGGTAGGTTATATAAAGGAATCAATCAAATAATACAAACGACTCTCAAATATTAACAATGAAACAATTGTAGATACAGTTGTTACCACCGCCACCTGGTTGTGACGGTTGGGTAAGGGAGACTTTGTTTTAACACTGGTAAAGGCCTTTTTTGTACTACGGTATCGTGCCACCAGGAACTTTGTGAAAATCTAGGTAACTTTGAACGGATACTTTTTAGTAATCTGATTAGATCGCCTCTTCCAGTGCGGGTTCTTGCTACCTGAGCTGTACGCAGTTAGTTGGAATGCTAGCTACTAAACTTTAACAATGGTTTATTGAACAAGTAGTTAATCTTGCTAAGGAAATGAATGAAAAGCAAAGAATATACAGTAAGTTATTAACAAGTTATACTGAAATGAAATTACATACAGAGCTTTGGCATGATAGGAAGTGAAATTAATGAGCGTCCTGTATAGGGCGTTCCTTGATGGTACAAGTTATATGAGAAATTTATGATTAAAAGATACAGAGAATAAAGACTAGGTTATAATTCTTAGTGGGTAAAAAGTCACGGGCGTCCTCGACAAGGGAATGACAAAACGGACCTGTTATTCAGGGTAAGATACATGTTGGAAAAGAGATTTGAGTTGTGAAGCTAACCCAACGGTTTTGTTGGAGAAAATAGATAACAGACAGAAAACAACAATTATGACGAATAAATTAAAATACTTGAATTTGAAACATTACCTAAGGTCTCGGAAAGAGAGTCAGCAGAAAAACGTCAACACTAAACACCTGAACTTCGTTACAGAACTGAATCAATCTAGGAGGCTCACAGGCCTATTTATATTGGCAGCTTGATGACGCTTTTAGGATTTTTATCAGTCGCAAAACATGCGATTTGTTCATGGAATCAGGAGTCGAGAGTCGTGTTTTGAGACACAGTCAACACACTCTTTCGGAAACCGACTGATAACCCTTGGCTCTTGACACGGTTTCGTCAGAAATTTAGCAACTTAATCTAGCTGGCTAAAAAAAGCCAATTAATTGTATTACGAAGTAAAAAAAAGGATTTTTAGGCCGTTTTGTTACACAGTCATAGATGAGAACAAGTATCTAAATTCCTAGAACCAAGACTCGCTATCAATACAACAATGTGCGTGAGTACAGAATGGAAATGAATCAAAAGGAAAAATCGCTTCAGCTGTGGAAAGCTTCTATCGTGAATTGTATACCGCCAGGTCCTGACATGGTAAATGTTGTTTCTGGATATGTACCAGGTTCCCAATGGTTTGAGATAAAGAAGGCAATAATCGATCTGAAAAATAAGAAATTACCAGGAGAGGATTGAATAACAGATGAAAAACTGAAAGTAGGAAAAGTTGGCTTTCAATACTGAAGAGACTTCTAAACTTTGCCTCAAGAGTGCGGAAATCGCTGGCTTCATGGAACTGGTTTTCAAAAATGTGATGATTGAATCAGAAACGGCCGCCTCGTTATTGTCCTCTATATCTATACAAGGTGTCGATGAAAATCAGTGGCAACAGCTTATCACCCAAATTAGGGATAGGCAGATAGGTACCTCTTTTTGAACAGGCTGGGTTCTGCCATTTTAGTACTTCTCAAGATGACAATTTTCCCTCACCATCTTGCCCTCTATTTCCCATTCGTAAACTATAAGAAGCCATTTGGTAGCATTGAGCTATATGGACATCTATCGAATTGACTCAATGTTATTCATAACATCTACAGAATGCCAAATTGCCAGCTGGATGAGACCACCAATTCCATTTGAATCAGGAAAGGAGTCAGACAGGAGAATGTGATATCACCGAAACGTTTCACTCAAATCTAAATGAATGATTCATCTACGGTTCGCCGACGATTTCGTACTCATTTCCAACAGTTTTTAAAAGCTACAGTTGATGACTGGTCAGTTGGTAGGAGCATCAGAAACAATGGGGCTGGAGATGAATATGGGGATAGCAAAAGTGATGATAGAAAACGCCGAGGAAGAAAGAACAGTCACCATTAAAAACCTTGCAAAATAAGCAATGTGTATTGCCTAAAATGATATACCTATACTTACTTGTCAGACTTGGACATTTACAATGAACAATGTCTACAAAATATCTGGAGCTCACAGGAATATGGGACGGATTAAACTGAACATGAGATTCTACGATCAAAAAATAAACACTTGGATATAAAATCCAGGCTCCAGGAAGTAGGATTAGAAGTTACTCATTTGAAATATAATTTCTTAGGACACCTTGCAAGTAGAAAATATCACAGATTGAACTCAGAAATAGTAAAATCTAGATCAGTCATTATTTCGTAGATATGTATATAATATGGAAGACCGTGAGATAGTGGCAGATTTTTCGACGTGATTTTACCCACTATGCCTTGTAGAGGGTATTATGATGATTTATTAATAAGAGAATATCTATTCCATAATACCCTCCAAAAAGTATACTGGATAAAATTACGTCCGAACGACCAATTCATTTTTCAGACTTTGAAACACCTATCCGAGCTTTAATTTCCATACATTGCAGTTTTCCTCGATTTTTCGAAAATATTCTTGGTTCAAAAGTATAGTAGGTTTTCAAATTGTCACCCTATATTTTATAATAGATTTTGGAAGTACCTCCTAACTGTGCTTATACGAAGAAAATTGTGAGCTTTTTGGATTATCTTTTAATGCCTACAATTTGCATTATATAACCTTATTTTCGTTAGCATTTTCTTTTTATTCGTATAGATTTAGGTAAGTTTGAGCACTCGAGATGTAGCTCCTGGGACAAAAATAATAAGAACTGAGACTTTAATTCTAAAATAATTGGAATTTCCTTCAAAACCGAAGTAAAATAAAAATATCAATAAAATTTAATATAAATTCAAATTACCTTGTCAGAATAGCATTTAAAAAATAAGTTGGGATATAACCATTTTATATTTTTTGTTCACAATCAAATTACACATTTGTATATTTTAAAATCTTCTTGTTATGTTTGTTCAGTAACTCGTAATAGATTTTTTTTTTCAATTTGACTCGTTTAAAAACATAAATTTCTCACTTGTTGCACTCTAATTTCATTTATTTGAACCCTAAACTAAATCATACCTCAGTTGATATTTCACTAGGACACACACAAACACTATAACACGCTAAATAGTAATTTCAGCACACGTATAAGCCGTTTTGAACGTTGCAACGTTGAACAAATATACACATTGACCGAGGACATTTTTGCAAAGCTCTGGAGATTTGGAGATTAGTATAGACCTGCAAGGCTGTGTCATTTTCTGGGCTATTTAAGTCTGATTGCAGTTAGCTTAATTAAATTTAATAAAACCCTGGGTTATATGGATCGTTTTTAATATTTCTAATTCTTATTAAAAAATTTAATTTTAAATTAAGTTTAGAATGTTTAATGTTTTATGAAAATCGTGGGTACTTTCGTCTGTTAATAATTATTAAGTACTATGAGCTTTCTTGAATCTGGACATTTTCTAGCACGTCACAAATTTTATTTTCTAAGCTGTTGACATTATAAGAAAATTAAAATATTTTCTTTAAAGAGGAAAAAAACTGCGATCTAAATCTGAAAATGACAAGTTCATTTTTAGCGAATAAAATTGAATTTCGTAGGCTACAAAAATGCAATGCAAAATAAAAGTATTTGTATTGTAATAGAGAAATATTAAAATTTCTCCGGAATCAGATTGTATAGTAAAATATTACGTAAGTCGAATTGCTTTCGTGAAAATATAGTTTTTTTTTAATGCATTTTCGTTCTTCTTATCTGTTCGAAAATGATGTTCATGGGAACTAAACAAAAACAATCTGGATAATCGTTGCAAAGAAATTAAATCATTTTCAATAGATGTAGCAATATTGAATGTCAGCATAGTTGTCTTCCAATATCATCAACTGTATAATTAATATTAAAAACATTTTACTAAGACCCCGACAAGAAAATGCCCAGAGTTAGAGGACGCAAGGATACAGTCAAAGATCGAGAAGTGCCGAGACCATTTGCCAGTCCTGTTAGAATTTCGGCGATCAACATAAAACTACCTCCGTTTTGGAGCCATGATTCGGTGTTATGGTTTGTTCAAGTTGAAGCAGTTTTCTCAAACTATGGTATCACCGACTCGAAGATCAAATATAATCACATTATTACTGCTTTGCCGCCTGAAAGTGCAAGC